GTGTGTTGGATTGATTTGTGGATTAGCAGGGCTACTCCTCCAAATCTGTTAGAAGCAATGTTTGTTAGTATATTGTAGTTTACTGGTGTTGGTAGTCTCTGAAATTGTTGTATGTGTGTTTCTTGGAGTGAAATAATATGTGGAGAGTGTGTCTTGATGAGTATTAGTAATTGGTTGTAGATGTTCGAATATCCTTTAATATTCCATTGTAATATTTTTAAGGACATAGTTTAGGGCAGTTTTTGTGTTTGTTTTATAACGTTCGTACTGGAAAGGATTGTTCTTTGGTCTTTTGCTTTAAGGTTTTTAGATAGGGTGGATTTTTCTTTAGTTTGGCTTCTGAGAACGCGGTCGTTTGTTGATGTCGAGGGTCTTTCAGAGTCGTCATTTCGTAGGCGGCGGGGGTTCGTGCTATCTTCTTCAGTCCTGCATGTGCCTTGTTCACCTCTTTCATGAAGTCGTGTATGTTGGTGGTTTTCTTATGGATTTCATTTGTGTTATGTATTTGTGTTTCAATTGCTGGAATGGGGTTTACTGTTGGTAATGGATTTTGAAGGGTTTGAGAATATAAAGTTTCTTGGATAGAGCTATGACGGGTGAAGTATATGGAACGGGCAGTTTTGTGGTCAACTTTTTCGGTGATTCTGATGGCTATAAGTTCCTGTTCTTTGAGAAAGATTGGGCATTTTCTGTCCCTGGATGAGTGGTTTCCTTTGCAATTGATGCATTTAGGTTGTTGCCTACAGTCGTTGTTGTCGTTGTTGTGGGTGGTCTCAGAGCAGTTTTTGCATGTAGGGTTGTCTTGCTTGCTGCCAACTTGGGGGTGGTTGAAGCGAAGGCATTTCTTGCATTTCATAGGAAGAGGTATGTATGGGCGTGTGAATACTATTTCGTATCCGATAAACACTTTTCAGGGAGATTGGTAGAGTCAAATGTAAGCGTTATAAGTCCTGTTGGAACTCGATTTTGATCGACTAGTTTGGTCCATTTTTACTTTTCATAAACTTTTTGGGACTTCAGTTCGTTTAGAATTTCTTCTTCTGTGATATTCCTAAGCAAATTACAATAAATAACTCCTTAAGTCTGGTTAAGGTTCTTGTGTTCGTAGGCTTCTACGTCTACTACACCAAGTTTTTTAATTTTTAGTAGTTTTTCGGCTTGTTGAATGTTTTTTGTTTGAATTAGAATTGTACCTGCTCTTGTAATTTTACATTTTTCCACTTCACCTCCGCAGATGTAGTCGATTGATTTTTTTAGAATGAATGGGTTTGTGTTTTCCAGGGATGTATTGTCTTTACTTTCTATAACGATGAATTTATGTTCAGTTATTAAGTTTTTAGAAAAAAAGTCTGTTTTTATCTGGTGGTAACATTTTGGTTTTGTGGGGCGAACCCCCTGCTTGTGGTTGCTGTGATCACGTGACTGTTTGTTGTTGTATTTTTTTTTATCTTTTTTGGGAGTCTCTTTTGTTTTCTTGTTTGTTTTTGCGAATTTTGCTGATAAGCACTGGTGGTTGGTGATATAGATCGCCGTAGCTGCACGTCTTTACACAATAAGGTCTGGAGTGAAACTGCTCTAGGGGATATACTTTAGGATTCAGCAAAAAAAATTTTCGTTTTTTTCAATTATGATGTGGCTTCATAAGGAAATTCTAAAAAAGAGTCATATTCCAGAGTAGAACAATAAGAACCAATGGAGCTATGATTAGAATTATTAAAATAATGTTATATGTCAAAAAACATGGATACTTTTAATTTTTTTCTCGATTATTTTTCCGATTTTTCCTATGGTACTTAGAAAATATAGTTGTATGATCGGGGTGGGATATTCTATCTGCTATAGATACAAAAGTTTTGGGTAAGTTTCATCCCGATAGCTTCAAAACTGCGTTGAAGCGGACAGACTGACATGGCTAGATCGACTCCTAGTGATGCTGATCAAGAATATGTATACTTTATGAGGTCTCCTTCACTGCGTTGAAAACTTTTGACTGAAACCATAACACCCTCTGCAAGGGTAAAATTAATTTTAGAAATGTTTTCTTCAGTTTCCCAGGGGATGGGGTTTTTTTAATTCTTAAGGGGGAGATACATATAGAACTGCAAATTTTTCAAGTTTTTCGTATTTTGTTTCAACTAATAAGGGTTTGTGCTGGAAGTTCGCAACTTGGCATGCTAATAACATAGTTCTTATATAATTTAAACCAATTTTAATTTTTTTTTTTATCTTTTAAAATGGCGACCGTAAGAATTTTTTTGTCAGGCCTTTTTGAAAAAAAGTATGCCAGCTGCGGATCGTCCACAGGTCGCTGTGTACATCCGATTTTTATGAAACCAAATTTATTTTGTTAGGAATTATTGTAGAAACTTTCCGAACCTAACTTACATAGAATATATCAAAAACTCTGGTCGTGGCACTCTTTAAAAGTCAAAAAGAAATTTTTAAAATATTTTTCTTGTTGTTTTTGCTTTACAAAAAATACTTTAACGTACAAATTTCTACATAAAGTAGGTTTAGACAGTGGCCAATTTTATTACAAACATTTCTGTTAAAGCAGCATAATGATCGAAGCATTACTTCTTGAGATACACGATCCGCAGCTGAGGAAAACATGGTTTCGAGAAAATCGCATTTAAAGTACTGCTGCACAAGGAAGATGGGTGCCGTCATCCTGTTATAAGTTCCAAAATATTTCGAATTTCTTCGTAAAATCTTCATGACACATTTTTCAAGAGTTATTCTACCAATTTAAATAATAAACAAGAGAGAACGCTATAGTCGGGTGCCCCGACTATCAGATACCCGTTACTCAGCTAAAAGGAGTGCGAAGGAGATGGAGAAAAAACTTTGATCAGCCGTAACTTTTTAACGAATGGTCCAATTTAAAAAACTTTCTTCTACGTTTCGATAGGTATTGATAAACACAATAAAACTGCATTTTTACTTTTCCGAAATATTGAAATTTTTAAAATCGTATATTAGCGATTGTGGGCGTTAGAGGGGGCGTGGCACCCTTTTGAAACCAACTTGCGCTGCGTAGGAACTTCTAAAATCTGCATGCAAAATGTCAATCTTCTAGCTTTTATAGTTTCCGAGATCTCAGCGTTCATACGGACAGACAGACAGACGGACAGACGGTCATGGCTATATCGACTCGGCTAGTGACCCTGATCAAGAATATATGGGACGTTCCATATCAACCCGGCCACCCCCTTTTTTGATTTTTTTTGTATGTGGACAGTACCACATTGATTGCAAAGCCCCTTGCTTCCAATATTTTACCTCATACCCATTTTTTCAATGTTACCACTCTTTCGCCGTATATTCGCGCTGAAAGGAAAACACAAAATCATTTTTAACCTGCGAACGAAAGGCACAATCAGCATAGTTCAAAAGCAGAAAAATCTGTCTTTCGATGGCCGATTACGAGAAAAATAATGGATTTTATTAGACCGTAGTTGACCAAACGATAGCGTTTTCAAAGTCTAAAAGTAGGATTTCGTCTAAAGGGCCAGTCTGCAAAAATACCATTATATTTTTTTCAAAACGCCCGAGTTTTAACGGATTTTATGCCACTGGTTTCAAAGTGGGATCTCTCTTGAGGAATTAGCTATGAATTCTTTTCATTGATTTGTTAATTTTTTCCAAAGCATATATGATTATTTTATATTACTTATTAGCTTTTTCTGACAGTTAACTACTACAAAAACGTACAAAAGAATTCATAGCTAATTCCTCAAGAGAGATCCCACTTTGAAATCAGTGGCATAAAATCCGTAAAATATGGGGCTTTCTGAGAAAAATATAATGGTATTTTTGCAGACTGGCCCTTTGGACGAAATCCCACTTTTAGACTTTAAAAACGCTATCGCTTGGTCATCTATGGTCCAATAAAATCTATTTTTTTTCTCGTAATCGGCTATGGAAAGACAGGTTTTTCTGATTTCTAACCATGCCAATTGTTTCTTCCGTTCGCAGGATAAAAATTATTTTGTGTTTTCTTTTTAACGCGATTATACGGCGAAAGAGTGGTAACATAAAAAAAATGGGTATGAGGTAAAATATTGGAGGCAAGGGGCTTTGCAATCAATGTGGTACTGTCCACATAGAAAATTAAAAAAAAAGGGGGGTGGCCGGGTTGATATGGAGCGTCCCATATATACTTTATAGGGTCGGAAACGCTTCCTTCTCCCTGTTACATACTTTTGCACGAATACAATATACCCTTTTACTCTACGAGTAACGGGTATAAAAAAATTTAATTTTTTTTGTTTTTATATGTAAATATCCCCTTAAGCTAAATGTAAAAACAAAATGAAAATCCGATAATTTTTGGCAAAACTACAGTTATTACCAAAAACCGCCCTTTTTTAATAATGTTCCAGAAAACGCTTTGCCACCGATATATTAGCAAATAGTATCGGCTATAAATATTTGTGTATGTTATTTAAATGATAATAATATACAAAAGGTTTAAGCTAAATTCATATAGCCAGTTTTTTTTTTATTAATAAAATTTGATATTAGAAAAAGTTAGTTGATTTTTTGATGCAAAAGACCCTGTGGGTCTTTTTTTTAAATCTTCAATCTTGAGAATATTTCCTAAAAAAACGAAATATTTTATATTGCTTTATGTTTAACATTTCTGAAGTAAATTTTACAATTACATTGGAAAGACTTGTCCGATCAAATTTTTTATTGAAAGTAAATAAGTCTATTGTTAATCGCAATTGTAGAAATTTAATCAATTTTACAGGGGTGCATTCAGGATTTTTAATATAAAAAGAAAATGTATTATACAGGATTATAAATACATATTAAGTTAGAAGTTAACCATTCATCAAATCTTTTGTTATGCTTACCTTATTTTTAACGGAGAATATAAAATTGGATGACGTCTTCAATTTGTATGCCCCATTCGTGGGCCTCTATAGCGAATCTCTTAAGATTCCAATATTACAACGTGTATGCTATAACTTTAGTAACTTTCTTGCTTTCAAGAAAGTCTGTATGGGATCGACACGTTGAACAGTAAACTTTATAATAACATAAATAAGTGAAATTACTAGTAAATTATACATGTAGTATTTTATTCAAACTTTTAAAAGTATTTTACAAATGGTTTTCCAAGTATGTATAATATTTCCATATCCTTGCAGAGAGTAAAATATTTTCAGTTTCCGACCCCATACATATATATATATATTCATGATCGGCATCACTGGACGATTCGATCTACCTATGTCTGTCTGATTGTTTCTATGCAAACTAGTCTCTCAGTTTTAAAGTTATCAGGCTGAAACCTTCCCAAAAGTCTTTTTTCTATTGGGAAATCACTGTGGACGGCAGTCCAGGTAGTGACAAAGCTCACCAGGACTACTATATATACAGGAAGAAATGAAAATCTGCTGTGATAGTCCGATCGTAATGAGAAATACACCAATCGAAAGTAATCGCAAAAACTTAGAGAGATACTTAAACTTTAAGAAAATTATTTAACTTGGGAGAGAGAGCGGTGAAAGTAAAAATTTCGAAATTTTGAGTTGTTGGGGACGGTGGATAAATGCCCCCTCGCATTATAATAGTTGTGTTCCTATTGCAAATACGCGTGGAATGAGGAGTCATATAATAAAACCAATGCTCGGTTCAATAAATATATAAGGTGTGTTTCAAAACTATACGACACCATGACATTTTTTTTTTAATTTTTTATAGTTGTTGCTCTTTATAGAAAGCGAAATACTTAAATGCAAATCGAAAAAAGAATGTATCACGTGTAGGAAAAAAATACCACGCGTTCTTGATCCTCTTTTTAAGGACTTACTGCTGATTTTTCGAATAATAGTCTATAAGGACCGGAAAACATCGATGGTGTCGTGTAATTATGAAAAAAATCGCAAATTGCCCAAAAATAGACTATATTTCGAAAAATTAGCTGTAAATCCTTAAATAGAAGGATCAAGGACGCGTGGTATTTTTTTCGTACACGTCATACATTGTTATTCGTTTTGATTTCTATAAACAACAACCATTATTCAAATTTAAAAAAAAATGGGTGTGTCAAGCCTACGCACGACAGAAGTGAAACTTGTAGTATTCCTACCTCATTTATCATTTCATTATACGAGTGCACTATGGGAAAAAAGTCAATTTTTTTTGGCATAAAATCAACTTATTTTACAAATTATTTTTAAAAATAAAATATATTTTGTGAATTTACATACCCTAATTAGCCAAGAACAGTTATCTAAGATTTTTTACTAGCAACACTATAGCGTTGATAAACGAACAAAGTCAGCTGTTTGATTGACTTTATTGTGTGCGTAAATTAGTGAAAAATCTTTGCAAACTTTCAGTGCTTATTTTGTGGAGCAACAAAATGGTTTATTATTTCTGATCATGTCAAATCGTAGCAAAGGTATTTATAAATGTATCTTAGATTACATATTTTGATTATTATGGCTTGTTGTCCAACTGTGAACTGTTTTAAATGTGTATCTTTTTAGCTTAAAACAAGAGAGAACGCTATAGTCGGGTTGTTGTCCCGACTATCTAATACCCGTCACTTAGCTAAAGGGAGTGCGAACGCTGTGTCGGGTTGGTGTCCCGACTAATAATCGTAACTCAGCTAAAGGGAGTGCGAGGGAGATAGATATATAATTTTTGATTGCGTATAACTTTTTAATGAATGGTCCGATTTGAAAAATGTCTTCTACATTTCGATAGGTATAAATATACACAAAAAAAATTGCATTTATACTTCTCGGAAATCTTTAAAGATGTGGGCGCAGGACCCTTTTTAAAATCGTTATTGGGCGATTGTGGGCGTTAGAGGGGGCGTGGCGCTCGGCTAAAATAAACTTGCGCTGCGCAGAAAGCCAAAGAATATGTGTGGAAAATCTCAACCTTCTAGCTTTTGTAGTTTCTGAGATCTCAGCGTTCATACAGACGGACAGACGGACAGACAGACAGACGGACAGACGGACAGACGGACAGACGGACATGGCTAGATCGACTCGGCTAGTGACCCTGATCAAGAATATATATACTTTATGGGGTCGGAAACGCTTCCTTCTAGCTGTTACATACTTTTGCACGAATCTAGTATACCCTTTTACTCTACGAGTAACGGGTATAACTAACAAGTTTGTTTGTGTTCCGTGGTGTACAACTTATAAATGGCACAAAGTTGCAAAAAGGTAAAAACGCAAAGTTATTACCAAATGTATCCTTTATATCGCAAAGATAATCATTTTTGCAACTTTTGGCACGTTTCTTAAAAAAAAATAACTTAAATCCAGCAACTTATAAACATAAAAAAAAAAATTTTTTAAATAAAAAAAAATCTAAGTGGCTTTCATTAATCTTAAAAATTGAATTCATGGAAAGGGACAAGTCAAGTGAAAATCCTGGCTGCAAAGGACTCAAATATAAAGAAGCTGGACCCCCGTTAAAGCTAAAATTGGCATCTGCTCTTAGATAATATTTCACTTTTCTTGTACATGTCACCAATTTTTTTTTTGACAAATTTTAAAAATTATCGTAAACCGAAATTATTTTACCGTCTTACCAATACAAATACAAATTTTTTAAAATCCCTGCCAATTAATTTGAATATGCGGCGTGGGCGGTGGATGAAAACAATGGTCCGATTCAAAAAGCAACAAAAACCGAAATTACAGCTTTATCTTAATAGTATATATACAAAATTTCTAAATTGTTTCTCTAAAACTAGAGTTTATGCCAAAAAAATAGACTTTTCCCATAGTGCAGTGGTGACCAGCAGAGGCAGCGCGCAGGGCCCACGGGATAGACAAGCTGAAAAACGTCAGGCACACAGTCAAATTCGTGCATGCTCTCACACAAACGCAATGCGTTATTTCATTGTATGTGTGCTGCTTCTGCTGGCCACCACTGCATTATATCCTTGCAGAGGGTATTCTTCAGTCAGATGTTTGCAACGCAGTGAAGGAGACGTTTTCGACCACATAAAGTATATATATTCTTGATCAGGGTCACTAGCCGAGTCGATCTAGCCATGTGCGTCTGTCTGTCTGTCCGTATGAACGCTGAGATCTCGGTAACTACAAAAGCTAGAAGGTTACGATTTTCCACACATATTCTTGGGCCTCTTACTCAGCGCAAGTTTATTTTAGCCGAGCGCTACGCCCCCTCTAACGCCCACAATCGCCCACTAACGATTTTAAAATGTGTCCTGCGCCCACATCTTTTAAGATTTCCGAGAAGTATAAATGCAATTTTGTTGTGTATATTTATACCTATCGAAATGTAAAAGACATTTTCCAAATCAGACCATTCATTAAAAAGTTATACGAAATCAAAAATTATATATCTATCTCCCTCGCACTCCCTTTAGCTGAGTTACGATTATTAGTCGGGACACCAAAATTGTTTATATATCTATCTCCCTCGCACTCCCTTTAGCTGAGTTACGGGTATTAGATAGTCGGGACACGAGCCCGACTATAGCGTTCTCTCTTGTTTTTTCTGTCTTAGGTTAGTTTGAAGATTTTAGGTTAAATAATTCAAGGACGAAGCATGGATTTGGTTTATTTCTATATATATATATAATATTCCTCAAAAATATATATAAAAAATATATTTCTGATCGGAAAAAATAGAACTCAAAAATTATGATTATTGTTGATTTTAATTTGTATACCCTTGCAGAGGGTATTAAAATTTTGGTCAGAAGTTTGCAGTGAAGGTAAAGTGAATATATTCTTGATCAGGATCAATAGGGGAGTCGATATAGACATGTCTGTCTGTTCGTCTGTCCGTCTGTATGTCTGTTTCAATACCGTTTGCGAGCTCAGTTTAAAAGCTAGCGATTTAAAACTTTTACAGTCGTCCTTAAACATGTGTACGCAGATCAAGTTTGAAAACCGACTCGATCGGACCTTTATATCCTATAGCTCCCATAGGAACAATAGGGTGAAATCGGTCAAAATTTGACGTTTTTCAGGATATTTCGCGCAGAATATAAGCTATTGACATGAAACTTCCCAACTCGTATTCTTTTATGCAAACCTTAATCAAAGTAAAAGCGCGTGCCGATCGGACGTCTATATCCTATAGCTCTTATAGGAACAACAGGGTGAACAATTTAAAATTTTTGTTTATTTAATTATAGAATATTTTGTTGTTTCTTAATCCATGTTGCTATTCTAGTCAATTTTTCGGCTTGCCGAAGTTAGCTTCCGTCCTCGTTATACCCTTGCAGAGGGTATTATAATTTCAGTCAAATGTTTGCAACGCAGTGAAGGAGACGTTTCCGACCACATAAAGTATATATATTCTTGATCAGCATCAATAGCTGAGTCCATCTAGCCATGTCCGTCTGTCCGTTTCTATGCGAACTAGTCCCTCAGTTTTAAAGCTATTGCGATGAAACTTTCCGAAAAGTCTTCTTTCTATTGCAGGTAGTACATATGTCGGAACGAGCCGGATCGGAAAAAACTTTATAGAAAGTAGGCTTTTTGATTTTTGACAATGTAAAAACAACATTTTAGGTAGGCATACCTGCAAGGGTATATAAGTTAACTTCCTTTCTTGTTTTTTATTAAAAATAAAGCTCACTTGGTCGCCACGGGGTTTCTAAACCGATTCTGAGCGTTCTTTTTACATAGTCCTATAAAACGAATGCAGATGTATCACCTCTGACAAAAAGAAACTTGAACTTGGCCTCCCGTTAAATGGTATTTCAATTTTAGTCAGTAAAGGAGACACTTCCAGCCTTCGTTTTTGTTTATGTATTAAAACATGGATTTCTCTTCGCTCTGAGCGCGCTCGCACATGGAGCAAATACATATATACACATAAATATACAAATATATATAAAATATATACATATTTATGTGCAAATACATATATACACATAAATATATATAAAATATAAATATATATATTTTATTTTTTATTTATATTCGCTCTGAGCGCGCTCAGAGTACAAAGAGAATGTTCGTCAGCGGTGATAGAAAAGAAGAAGACTTTCGTGACGGTCATGAATTGGTTTTACTCCGTCCTCGAAAATGCATAACGCGCCTAAAGAAGTTTCACTTCAAAAAAATGTTTTGGTGGCGAAACACACCTTTTATTTTCTTTTTCAT